CTTCCTGAATGGGGCCCCCAGAACCGGCTCCGTCATCCTCTCCAATGGGCTCCCATAGGGGCCTCTCAGACTGTGGTCAGTCTACCCAAAGACCGCCACTCACATGCTTGACTCACAAGGACCTCCCCCATAAAAGCCCCATAAACTGCTGGCTACCACATCTCTTGCCCTCGAGCACTTGACTTGGGAACTGTGCCTCAGGAGTCTACATTTATTCCCATCAAGGGCCTTCTCATTAGGGCTGGCTCTGACTCATTCTGGCCTTCACCAGGTCATCCAACACATCACATCATCTGAAAATCTGAGAAGCTCCTGGTCAGTGCCTTTGTCCAAACGGCCAACAAGGGCCAAGGACAGATTCCATGCCGCTGCCATGCATCAGTCACCCATGACTGAGCTCAGTGGCTCAACCAGCCGGTCGTGCAGCCCACAAGCCTCCATCTTGCCCACAAGGGTATCCCGAGGGCCTCTCAGATGCCTTGGTGAAACCCCAGTGTCCTCATGGCCCTACTGTGTTCTAGCAACCTTGTCCAAGACTTGTCTAGCATGACGTATTCGTCAGGAACCCATGCTGGTTCATAGGGATCCTTGGTTTCTTTTGTCATTCCGTCTCTCCTCTTTTTTGGCATCAGTAAGATGTCACAAGACACCCTCCCCAATTCCCTGCATCCCTCAGTTTCTCCCAAGCCTACGCTCTCCTTCTTTCCCTCTCTTAACCCCTTGGTAAATCAGTTCAACTCAACAGTGCTCTCAAGTCCCCTCCTCCTTTGCTTGTCCCAGGGCTGACGCCACCTCGTCAACATCTGGATGCCTTCCACCCTCAGGTTCCCTTCACTCCTAGTCACCTGTTGCTGAGCAGAAATGGAGAAAATCACAAAACCGTCCTGACCAGGTCACTAAACTTGCAGGGTGGCAGTCTTTTACTCCTCTCTCCCATTCAAACCTTCTCTCCTATCCTCTGGCCTTTCCTGGCAGCAAGGGCCTTCTGTGCCACAGCAGAGAGGGTACCCCCAATCCTTTTTGGTCATTTTTAACCGAAAAAATTGAGGCCACTCTCCCCAAAGCTCCTTCACCTCCCCTGCTCCTCTTCCCGTGTTGGGCAGAATTACTTCCTGGCCCCCCATTGCCTCCTTCACATCGAGTCTGATGAGTTCTGTACCTCCCCTTTTGGTGGTGTGCTGGGGAACATTCTAACCCCGGCCCTCCAGAAAAAAAATGATGTGGACGGCCAGGATTCCCTCGTTAGTTTAATCTGCATCTTCACCATCATTTCCCCATCCCTTTCTTAAGTCCAGACTAGGGGTCAGCAAATTTCGCAGGCCGGATGCTTGAAGCCTGTTTTTGTATCATTTTTCACTCATGGCCCATATCAAACCAGGCCCACGGTCTAGACAGCCCATGAAATGGTACATCGAGCTCGCTGTGCAGTGTTTGTGGGTCTCCAGGCGTAAATACTCAGCCTGGACCATTTTACGCTCAGCTCTGAGCTGGCAGAGGCTGACTCCAGCACAGCCCTGGCTTTCTTCCATTCCCACGCCCGTCTTCTTGAGAAGACCGCTCCCGAGATCATCCCTCCCTCTACTGTTCAGTCTCTCTCTGTCTACTGGCTGCTTCCCTACCGCCTAGCCCTTCCACATTCTGGGCCTGTCTTTTTAAAATCTGATTTCGTCGATGAGAACTTACAGCAAATACAGAGAGAGGGAGAAAGAGAGACAAGGAGGAGGAGATGGAGAGATGGGCAAGGAGGGAGGGGGGAGAAACAGAGAGAGACACAGAGAGACGGAGGCAGAGAGAGATCTGCAGAGAGTGGAAGACTATCTGACTCCCTCTGCGCCATGCGTCTCTTCTGGCTGGCCAGTCTGAAGCATGTTCTCTCGCCTTTGATCCCCACCCCAATGCTACCCATGGAGCTTCTCCACTTGGCTCATGAGTTTTCACACAGGAGCAGAACTTCTGTATACACTGTGTGATCCCCTAATGGCCCTCTATCCAATCTGTTGCTTCTAAATAAGGCATAGCCCCCAGCATCTCCCCACTAGCCCCAAGAACGGGTATTCTTCCCACTGTAGTCCCACAATGCCCTCATCTTCCTCACGCTGTCCCCTGGGCTCCAGCACTCAGCTGCCTTCTGTGACCACACTCCTGTGCCCGGGGTACAAGGCCCCAGTCACCTGGCCACAACTTGCCTCTAATCTTAGCTTTCAGTTTCCCTGGCATGAACCCTCAGCTCAAGCCAGCTTGGTTTCCCTAAACACACTCAGTACCCTTCCCAAAGGTTCCTCCCCATTAGACCACCCTTCATTCCCCACTGCCCCCATCATGCCTACCTAAAGCCTCCCCATCCTTCCAGGCCCAGCTCACATCCCTTCCTCTCTCTCCCACAGAGAGGGAGCCAGAGCCAAGGCCAGTGCCCATGGTCACTCACTAGGTGAGTCAGTAGCTGCCAGGACCATGACACCCGGCCCTGATGGGGCCACACGCTCTGGAGCTCCTGGGCTGCCAGACAGGAAGGGCCAGGGCGGCAGGGGCCGGGATGTGTCATGGGTAGTCCTGAGATCCTCACCCTAACCTTGGGCAGTCGTCGGGAGATCTCGACACCACTTACTGTCCTCATTAGTCTCATTAGCTAATTAACACCCTGCCAAATTGTAGACAGGCAGGCAGGGAAGCTGGACCACCTTGCCATGCCAGGCAGTGCTCAGGACTGGTGGATGCTGCTGCCTGCTTTCCCTGGGCAGGCTCACTCTCTCCCTCCCTCCCAGAGGTGCCCCGCTCCCCAGGACTACCTCGAACCCATGCCTGAGAGGCCAGGGCTGGGCCCCAGGCAGTTGCCTGGATGGGAGCCACGGGCTGAAGAGGCCCACAGGATGTTACCTAACTCTGATTAGCCAACAGGGCGATGGGGCCCCACCCCAGCCGGCTGGCCACTGACTCTCCCTAGGAACGGGGGACACAAACACCGGCCGGTTGTCAGGTGGCCGGCACCCGGACTGCTCAGGAAACGTGTGTGTCGGTCACTATATGACCCTGGGCCAGTCCCTTTCTCTGTCCAGGCTGCCTCAGCATCCTCTCAGTACAGCCCGGGGGCTGTGGATCCTAAGCTCCTTCCATTCCCTCTGGCTCTCCAGAGTTCTCTGCTCTTTCCTGACCCTCTCTTCTGAGGCCAGGGAAGCTTTCCACTCCAGTCTCCCCTCTGGCCAAAGCTAGGGCTCAGGCGCCAGGACTGGGGCCCCTGGCTGCCTTCCCTGCAGCGCTGCCTCCAGGAACTCAGAGGGAAGAAAGAAGAGATTCCTCTGGCCAGCCAAGGAGACGACAGACAGACAGACAGATGGACAGACAGTCCCACAGATTGGACTCAGAGCCTCTCCCCCAGGCCAAAGCAGGCCATAGGTAGTAAGTCAGGACTCCCCAGTTGCTCTGAATCGTGGGGTCAGATCGAGGGCCGATCTGAAACCCGTCAGGCAGGTTCCCGGGCCATTCCCAGATGTGTGTGTGTGTGGGGGAGTGCCAGTCCTGGCTCAGGCCTGGAGGAGGAAGAATTCACGCCTGGGACAGCCTCTCTCCTAGGCTTCCTCCAAGCGTCCCAACCACAGGACGGCTGGGCTGGGGCGGGGACGGGGGGACTGGAAGAAGCTTCTTGTCCACTCGTCCCAACCCTACTTTACAGACTAACCCAAAATCGAGAGCGTCCGCCCGTCACACAAAGCCCTCCCTGCTCTTGTCCGGGACTCTGTTTCAGCTCCTTGGCCAGACCGTGAGCTGCCCGGGGTCAGCGGCTCAGCCTGGGATCTCTGAGAGCACCCAGAATAGGCCCTCCTATGCGCGGATGGAAATCAGAATCCCGTACTCAGAGAGGCCTCCAGCCAGCCCCAGCCGATGAAGGGGGCTCTGAAGCTGGCAGGCCAAGTCACAAGGCCACCCATCCCCCCAGGCTAGTGGGGCAGAGCTGACTCTCAGCCAGGGAGCAGAGAATGGTCTGAGCTAGGCCGGGGGCGGGGGGGGGCTGGGGGGGCGGGATGTGCTATTGGAGGAGGGGCTGCCCAGGAAGTGTGAGCTATGGAGGGTCCAGGAGGCAGGAGCCCGAAGCTGCCGAGGCAGCTCCTGTCTGAGCTGGGCTCCTGCCTCCTGCCCCCCACCCAGGGCCGTTTTCTGCCCTTGCCGACCCCCTCCCCATAGAATGGAGGCTCCCAGAGGCCCGGGCTGAGGTTGGACGGTTGGACGCCCCGGCAGGGGCAGGGCTGGACTTGGTCATGTGACAAGCAGCTCGAGCTCCCCGGGGCCCAGGTGGGCCTGCCGTAGCCGGCTCCTGCTGCTGGTCCCAGACCAAGCTGAGTGACCCTGGGCAAGTCACTTCCCCAGCCTGAGCCTCGGTTTTCCTATCTGTGTGACGGTCACAGTCATCCTCCCATTCCCTAACTCACAAGGTCGGGGCAAGGAAGACACTAACCGAGAGTTAGAAGGGCCCTCAGAGGTCACTGAGTCCTACCGCCTCAATTTACAGATTGGGAAGCTGAGGCAACCTCGCCCCGCCACAGGCATGTGGCTTTCTCCCTGCTGCTCCCCACTGAGGGCTGTTCCCCTTCTCGCTCCAGCCTCAGCGGCCTTCCCTCGGGGCTTCAGATACAAAGTGTGGGCCCTCAGGGCCTCACCTCCCTGCCCAGCCCCTCCTGGGTACCCTGAACATTCTTAGCCCTCAGCCTTGAGTCAAACCCGTTTCCCCAGATTCCCCCCCCCCCCCCCCCGTCCCGGGCCCCAGCTCAGCTCATTGCCCCTGGAGCTCTAGGCCAACGTCTTTAGGCCAACGTCTGGCCGTCCCGCCCTGCCTGGTCCTGGACGTCCGGCCTCCTCCCAGTCCCAGGCCCTGGCCCCTCAGACCTGCAGGGCACCTCTTCTCACACATGGCTGGGGAAAATCCACTTAGGCCTCAGCCCTTAGCCCGGCTCCCCAACTGCAGAGGGATTTGGCAAAGGACATTGTCAGGTGTGGGAGGAGGGTCTTACCTGACTGTAGCAAGCCAGCCCCACGGTCCTTGACTCCGAAGTGCTGCTGGATGTCCAGAAGGACGCCTGGGGGAAGGGAAGAGGCAGACAGGCATTCAGAGAGGCCTCGAGGCAGCCCCCAGCATCCAGGTGGTCCCGGACAGATGGGGAGGTGGGAGGGATGCAGGGAGTGGGGACAGAGGCATGGGTGTGGGGCATCTGTGGGAAGCCCCCCAAGCAAGTCAGCCAGGAGCACTCTGCTAGAGGGATCGACGAGAACCCACATGAGGCCCCCCAGCCCTCAGCCGCAGGCATAGCCCCATTCACTCCTCTCTCCAGGATGCACACCCTTCTGCGGCTGATGCCAGAAGGAGACCGGCAGGCCAACAACCCACAGGGCGGGGGCAGCAGGACAAGACAAGGAGCGTCTGGAGGTCTGGTCTCTGGGTGAGGGAGGGTCTGAAGCAGCCAAGGAAGACTTCCTGGAGGAGGAGACCAGAAGCTGAGCCTGGGAAGTTCTAGAGGCTTGGGGGCTGACCAGAGAGGCCGCAGGGGCCTACCTGCAGGCAGAAAGGGGGCCAGCCTGAGGGGCCTCCAAAGCCAGGCTAAGTCAGGAGGTGCTGAAGGCTTGGGGCCAGGGACAGGGCAGGGCTGGCTGATGGAGGGGGAGACATAGGCTGGGGGCAGGCTGGCTAATTCAGGGGCAGAGAAAAGTATTAGATCTCTACCCACAGTCCTCACAGAAAGAGGAAAAAGACTCATTAGAAAGAGACCAGAGACAGCTGCCCTTTTCATGGTGGCAAAGAACTGGAAACTGAAGGGGGGGATGCCCGTCAGCTGGGGAGTTATCCAATGTGACGGGATCCCAGCGAACCCTGCTAGTGATGGCGGCGGCCCTGAAAAGCTGGGCAGGTGCCTGGGGAGGGGCAGAGGCCAGGCACGCTCCGCCATGCTCTACACCCTCCCTGCACTGCCCACCTCCAGCAGTTAGGACCACCTTCCCTTCCAGGTCACCCTGGAATTATCTGGACTAAGAGGCATCTGGGTGGTCCCAGCAGATAGAGCAGGGCCTGGAGTCAGGTGGCCTCCTACATTTACTAGCTGTGTGACCCTGGGCAAGTCATTTAACCTCTGTTTGCCTCAGTTTCCTCAATTTGTAATAGCATGTTATAGGAATGACAGTAGCACCTGCTTCCAGGGGAGTTGCGAGAACCACCTGAGAACATTTGTAAAGCGCTTTGCACGGCTCAGGGCACTCACTAGGCACTAGACAGACGTTTGCTAGCGCCATCATTAGCACCTGACTTCGTACAGCCCTTTAGAATGTAAGCTTTCGGAGGGCAGGCTCTCCCTCCCTACTGTCTCTACATCCCCAGCATCGAGCACAGGGCCAGGCTCAGCTCTGTTGAGGGCCCCTCAGCCTCTTTAGGGGCCCTGCTCAGTGGCTGGGGGGAGGCTCTCACGTCTGCCCCGGCCTCCCTCCTTCTATGGGGAGGTTTGGGGGTGTCACTCGTTCTAGAAGAGGGTGGGTTCAGCCAGAGCCCCCGGCTGGCTGGAGGCTGATGCTAGAGGCTTGTCTTCCTTCCCACTGGACAGGAAGTTCCCTGAGGGCAGGGCCAAGCTGGCCCCCCAGAGCACCCATTTCAACAAATGTTGCGAATCAGTATGTACGCCAGCCCGGGCCTTGAAATATGTTCTCCGGGGAGAAAATGAAAGCCCATATGGGTGGAATGATTCGGCCAAGCCTTCACAGCCAGCCAGGGCCCCAGAGCTCCCAGCCTCTGGGCCTCTAATCATTGGCCCCTCCCTGGCTGCCAAGGCCTCCAAGGAGGGCTGCCAGCAGCTCCCCATGCACCCTGACCATGTCGCTGCTAAAAGAACCAGTTTCCATGACGAGTTGCTGCTACTGCCGCTGGTGTTCAAGGAGCTGGAGGACGGACAGCCGATGGAGGCGCCCCCTGAGCAGCTCCTCAGAGAAGCTCGTGGCTCTTTGGGAAAGGTAGGGCAGCCCAGGGCTGAGGCTGGGCCCTGTGATCCTGCTTCAATCCCCAGGGGGCTTAGCCGCACTATTCAGGGGTGGCCCAAGGTGGCAGGCTCGGAAGACCCAGGATAAAAAAGGCCAAGGTGGGGCAGCTAGGTGGCACAGTGGATAGAGCTCCGGCTTGGAGACAGAGGACCTGAGTTCAAATACAGCCTCAGACACTTGACACTAGCTGTGTGACCCTGGGCAAGTCACTTAACCCCAATCACTCACAAAACAAAAGACCAAGGGCAAGTGGAAAATCCCGATGCCCAGAGAACCAACAGAGCCCAGGGGAGCTGGGGCAGGGCCGGCCAGCCTGCCCACCAGAGCTCCCAGAGGAGCCCTTGCAGGCCGCCAGGAGTAGGGGAGCCTCCCCCCAAGGGGAGTCCTGCCTCCCCCCGGGACAGCCTGGGAGCTCTCAAGGAGCATTGGAGGGGAATGCCGGGAACAGCCCACCTTGTCACTCACTAGCTCCTCCTGGCTTCCTGTCCTGAGCCTCAGTTTTCTCACCTGTAATTAGGGAGCCTCAAGGCCACAGCCCCAGCTCAGTGTTTTCTTTGCTCTGACACCCCAGGACTGAGCTGCCTTCCTCCCTCCCAGACGACGACCCACTCCTTCCCGAGCCGGGCACACGAGGCAGCGGGGGGACTCTCTGCGTGCCTGCTGTGCCCAACAGGGCAGAAACACAGCCCTCCTGGGGGCTTGGCTCCTCTGTAGTCTCTGGGCTCAGCTAGTCCCACCCCCCAGATCCCAGGGCTCCACCAAAGCAGAAGCCTCGGTCTACGCACCCCTCTTCTGCCCTGATACAGACGCCCTGGACCAGGCAGGCAGGAGCACAGCCACACCTCAAGGTCTCTGGTTTTTTTGAGGGGGGTGGTAGGATTTCCATTTCACAGAGGGGGAAATCAAGGCCTTGAAGGTCAAGGAACTTGCCTAAGGGCACATAGGTAGTGTGCAGGTGAGCTCCAGGAATCACCCCTTCCATTGGGCCCCCAGTCCTGTCCTGAACACAACATTCCTGCCTCCTGGCTTTGAGCCACGCTATGCTTCCTGCCCAGCGCCCCGACCCAGGGCCTGCCAGTTGGCCCTCATACAACAGAAGCCCCTGGAGGACGAGCCTCAGGCCTCAGCAGACCCAGGTCAGTGCCTGGTCTCCTTTCCCAGAGCTTCGGCTCCCACCGGGGAAGGCCCCCTCCCCCAGGGCCCCCAGCCTGGGACCCTCAGGGTTTTCTTTGAGTCTCCCCCTCCTCCACCCATAATGACAAGACCCTCATTGGCGCTGCCTCCTAGCCTCCTCCAAGGGCTTCCTGCCCCAACTCAGACCTCTGCCAGAGGAAGCTTCAGTCCACTTCTGCTCAAAAGTCTTCTGTGGCTCCCTCTGGCCTCCTGAATCAAGCTGATTCCTCTGCCTGGCCTCCCAAGCCCTTCCCAGTGGGACCCCAGTCTGCCTCCTATCATTCTTCCCAGAGAAAGACCCCATCAAGCCAAAGTGGGCAGATGCCTCAAGGGCCTCCTAGCACCCCCGCCTCTCCCCGCCTCCGCTCCAGTGCTCCCCCTGAGCTCCCAGGGCGGGTGGGCAGGCCCCTTCCCTGGGACCTACCAGAGCACCTTCCATGGCCTGATGACCTCCTGCTCCCCTCCACTAGACTAGGAGCACTCTGAGGGCAGGCCTGGGTCTCACAAAAACTTGGGATCTCCCCGTCCACACACAGCAAGTCCCCCTTAATATAGGCTTGTGGAGGTCAGGTGGTTCACATTCTCCAGACTCTGGTCAAACTAGGTCACTCTCATTCTTTATTTTCATTTCCTAAATGTGTGCATTTCCTACCACCATGCATTTGCCCCGGCCATCCCCCACGCCTGAACTAAGCTCCCCCTTTTCTGCTTAAAGTTCTCCTCATTCCTCTTGCCTGCTATCTTCCATGAATCGTCCCCCCCAAAGCAGCTCCTCCACTCCTCAGTCTCTCTCTGTCCCGTCTTGCAGCCGCCAGACCCTTGCTACTCCTATAAGCACCTGGCCTGTAGTTCTACCACCCAAGTGTCCAACGAAAGCCCGGAGGCCCTGGGATCATCTCTGCTGGGCTCCACTCTGCCTTCAATCCCCCTGTATCCATTGGCTCTGTCTGAGGCAGCCGGACACGGGCTCCTGCTACAGGAGGACAAAGCCAATGACACATGACTCTGGGGGCTCCCCCCAACAGACCAGAGGCACACGGGGTGACCCTTTGTGGGGAGGAGGGTGAGGGCGGCCCAGCTCTGCTCAGACGCAGGGCAGAGACAGGGGGATGCAGCCAGAAAGGCGTGTGACACCTCTCAGACAAGTCGCAGCCACAAGGCGGTCAGCGAGGGAGCCAGCGGCCGCCAGGGCCCTGCCCCCCACCTGCTCTGTCATCTTCCCCCATGCCCACATTCCCTTCCTCAGCTTGGGAGGCCTTCCTGCCCATCTGGGAGGCAGGATGGCCGTCTCCCGTCCAGCGGGGACTCTGGGGCCCACCCTACTTCCAAGGACTCCCACCCACCACCTACACTGGCTGCACTGTTCCCAGGCCTTCAGGGAGTGCCCAGGCCTGCTGAGGAGACACAGGGGCCAGCCTAGGAAACCCCAGAGGAAGGGAGAGGAAAGCAGGTCAGGGCAGGGACAAAGGGCAGGGGAGCTGCCCCCCCACCATGTCCAGGTCCAGGGTGGGGCCAGGGCTGGGGCTCAAAGCGAGGTCCTTGGGCTACCCCAGGGCCAGCCTTCTGGACCCTCACTCTTAGAAGGAGAAATGGGAAGCCCGTGCCCACTAGCCTCAGCCCTGGACTGGCATTCGAGGCTTTTTCAATGCTCCATCTTCCCCGAGTCCTCTCTCAGGCTCATCTCCCCCTGGTCCCCCAAATGAGCCCCTGCCCAGCCCAGGCTTTGTCCACACCCCTCTCCACCTGCAGTGCCCTCCCTGACCACCTGGCCACCAGACGAAGTCCCGCACCCTGGCCTTGTCTGGGCCCCACCTGCTGCCCCGACTCCCAGTGATCTGGGACCACATTCCAGTCCCACTGCAGCCCCGCCGTCCCTGAGCAGGCTGGG